CAACCCACTGCCACAGGGGCTGCAGCCTCCGCCGTCGCCAGCGACTCACGGCAGCCCAGCTCCAGGTTGAGCTGTTGTTCAGCATCTTAGCTGTGGAGCGCAGTGTCACTGGCCCTCATATGTGGGATCCGAACCGGGGCCCTCTGGCATCCCAAGCCAGTTCTTAACCATTGTGCCACTCGGCCAGCCTTACATTATTTTTTTTATTAGGTTAGTACGAATTCAGTTAGCATCTTAAAAATAAAATTGATATAATGAAAGAGTAGCAGAGGATAAAAAGAAAAAGTGCAGTTTAGTCAGTGAGCCTAAGGACTGACATTTTACTGAAAATTGATTTTAGATTTGTCAGGGAAGGGAGAAGCACAAGTCATAATTGCTACTTCACAATGATTGTAGTCTGTAGAATCTGTGTATTCTGAAATCAATAAAAGAACAATTTAAAGGTGTCTAAAATCAAGTGCTAGTTAGCATAGAATGTTTTAGGATAGTTTAAGAATTCAGAGAAAATGATTGTGAACTATGCCTAGTCAAATAGGAGGGTGCTCTTGAGCATGAATTGAAGAGAGTCTTTGGATTGTTACTGGGGAAGTGGGGAGGAAAGGCAAAAAAGGAAGGAGGCGGCCTGAGTGGGCAGAGACCCCAGAGCCAGTGAGCTACTTATGAATGAGGCTTAGTTCAGAATATGTTTGATTTTTCTTTTAAGTTTTACACCTCTTACCCTCCAATTAACATTCTTTCCTTGTTCCTTTTCCCCATCAGACGCTTCTCTGAGAGTTATTACTCTATTTTCTTAAAAAGAAATAAGATGGAGAAGCAAAAACTCAAAACCTTAGCATCCTAAAGGCAGAGTGATCTGAATAGAATTGGCATATTTAGATGTTTTCAGTTGCACATATTTTATTTTTGAGTAAAATAAGCCTTGAGAAAATAATTAGTACCATTAGAGTTGGACAGATAAGGAGTCAAACCCTTGTGGATCCACCTTTGTTCCCATTGTGTATAATACAGAAACAGTCCTATCAACCATGGTGGTGGTGCTTTTGTTAAATGGAGTCACATGTATAAACTAAGCATGGTGCCTGGTCTGTAGAATGAATAAATGGTTTTTTAAAAAATCACTTATAATTGAAACAAATAACTGAAGTAATTCTATATGATAAACTACAATGAGCACTTAAAAAATAATTGTGGCAAAGAATATAGTTTACTTTGTGTACTTTGACAATTTTCTCTGTTTAATTCTTTACTCATTTTCTATCCTTTATCTTTCTTTTAGGAGACAAGGATGGCAGTAAGGTGACCACAGTGGTGGCAACTCCTGGTCAGGGTCCAGACAGGCCACAAGAAGTCAGCTATACAGACACTAAAGTGATTGGAAATGGGTCATTTGGAGTGGTATATCAAGCCAAACTTTGTGATTCAGGAGAACTGGTTGCCATCAAGAAAGTACTGCAGGACAAGAGATTTAAGGTAAGACCTTTGGTATTTCATATATGTTGTTGCTATCAATACATGTAAATGATTATTTTTTCAATTGCTTTATCTGTTTTGCTTCCAGTTTTATTTATTGTGCATATTTTTGTTCAGTTTAACTACTGTAGTATTAGCTTTATTTCCCATTGTGTATTTTGTAGAGATAAAATTTACTTAAAATAGCAGTAATATTTTTGAACCACTGCTATGAGTGATTCATGTGTTAAAATGCCGTGAAAGGTAGATTAGAATTTCTTAATTTAAATTTTTAAAAAATGACCTCTCCCTACCTTGGATGTCACTGGTATAGGATACCAGAGAGAAACACTACTTATTGCACACGATCATTTGATACAGTTGACTATGCTTCCTTTCTGGAAAAATTTTCTTTGAATCTGTGACTCAACACTGTCTCCATCTTCCCCTCCCCCTCATCCCCCCCCCCCCAAAAAAAACCAACAAAACAACAAAAAAAACAACAAAAAAAAACTATCAATCCCCACTGTTCAATTTATTTTCATTTCTTACACCATTTATTTATTTATTTTTTTAAGATTTTATTGGGGAATTGGGGAAGGGGAACAGCCAAGTTGTTGTTCTTCAGTCTTAGTTGTGGAGGGCGCAGCTAGCTTAGCTCCAAGTCCAGTCGCCATCCGACTGCCTGTTGGCAGCTCACAGCAGCTCAGCTCAAGGTGCAGTGTTCAATCTTAGTTGTGGATGGGCATAGACCACCATCCCATGTGCGAGTCAAACTGGAAACCTTGTTAGGAGCAGGTGCTCTCACCAGCTGAGCCATCCTGCCACCTTTTGGCAGATCACTGGCCCATGTGGGAATCAAACCGGCGACCCTGTTGCTTAGAGCTGGCGCTCTTAACCAATTGAGCCATTCGGCCGGCCATTACATCCTTTTTTTAAAGGGGACTCTATCCATGGATGTTCAGAGGTCATCTCTATGTTAGGATACAGTGGAGAGTCAAAAGATCTGGGCTGTAGTCAAGGCTCTGCCATCAATAAGCCATGCAGTTCTGTTCCCTTTTCTGCTCCTCCCACCTGTGCAGTATTTTACTGAGAGTCTCCTGTGTGCTAGGAAGGAATTATGCTAAACGTTAAGTGATATAAAAATAAGAGTTGATCATTGCTCTGAAATAGCACACAGTCTAGAGTCTGTATGTTCTAGAATGTCTCAAATGTTCTAAAAAGGTTTAAAAAATATCTAAAGTTTTCGTTTTCAAGTCCCTCTCTCTCTCCCAAGCGCTAGCCCCATATTGTCACATGCCCACTAGATCTTTATATCTGAATTTTGCACTGTTACCTCAAATTGGCAAGGCTTCTTGTATAACCCTGCCTTAACTTTTAAGACTCAGTGGAAATTGTTTCTGTTTCCTGTTTGTTTTTTCTTTTTCATTCTAATGGTTTTATTTATTTTGTTATTCAGCCTCTTCCATTCTCTCACCTCCCATTCTCTCATACTTCATATCCAATCATTATCAAACTTGGTTGATTTTTTTTTTTTTTCCCCTCTCTGCCTTGTTGATCTATACCATCTTTCCTTTTCTTATCACTACTTCCCTAGACAGGCCTTTGTCATTATTTGGCCTAACCACTAGTAGGACTCTACCTCTGATTGTCTCACTTCCAGTTCCTTCTACATACCAACACTAGAATAATCCCACAGTTCACTTTGGTCATGTTGTTTCTCCTACACACAAATCGTCTATGGTTCCTCATAGTCTAGAAAATAAATCCTGCCCAGTTCAATTGTGCATTCAGGAGCTTCCATAGTGTTGCCTAATCTCCAAATACTCAGCTTTCCAACCCTCTGTGTCACGATCCTTGAAATATATTGGTCTTTATGGCCTCTCTGCTTTTATTCAGCTTCCTATATCACTCCCATTCGTCTGCCAACTAAATCCTGTACATATATAAAGACCCATGTCAGATTCTTCCTTTATGAAATTTCCCAGGTGATTCTAGCCAGCCATATGGATCTTGGTATTCTAAATTCCTTGAACACTAGGAAATTCCAAATTTTTTCATGACAAGGACTCCATTTTTATTATGTGTGTCTCCTGGATACCCACATATTCAGTGGTGTTTTTCTTTTTGGATTAGGAGTTGATGATAGCAAATACTTATCAAACCTTATATGCTCAGTGATCTACTAAGCTTTTTACATGAATAGTTTTATTTGAGACTTACCATTAGCAATGTGAGATTGATACTGTTATTATTCAGATTAGGAAACCTACGCACAAAGAAGTGATATATTAACTTGTCTAGGGTCACACAGTTAGCACAGAGATAAACGGGCAAGTATTTGAATCCCAGTAGTCTGACTCCAGAGTGTTTATTACATTTTATTACATTTTATCATCACTGTATCAAACCCGTATATTCTGTTCAGAGGTATTTGGGTTATTTTTTTTCTTCTTTTATTTATTTATTTATTATTTAAAATGTCCCCTTTTCCATAGTTAGGTTATTCATTTGCAATATAGTTTGGTTTATTTATTTCTATATATATCCCTTCTTAGAACTTCATGCCCATTTTCTGACTTTTTATCCAGAATTATATTTTAAATCCAAAATTTTGTTTTCAGTCTGCGAAACACTAACATGGTTCTAAAAGTAAGAAATATATAAGTGTCATTCCCTCTGTCTTGTTTTCACTCAATCCTTGTGGATGACCAGTCTCATTATGTTCTAGTTTATTTTTTCTAGGTTTCTTTTGTACAAATGAGCAGTTAAATATAGTTTTCTTGGTTTCTTTCTTACACAACAGGTAATACATTAGAGATACTCTTTTGTACTTCACTTTTTCTCTTAGCTATAGTTCCTGGGAATCATTGCCTATCAGTTCAGAGATTTTTCTCATCGTTTTTTACAGGTACATAGTATTGCAGCATTGATTCAACCGTTTTTCTATGTAGGATATTTAATTTCTTTTCAGTATTTTGTAAATCTCCAAAAGTGCTGTTATGCAAACCTTGTATATACTGTGTTCCCCTGAAGATAAAACCTAACTGGAAAATAAGCCCTAGCATGATTTTCAGGGTGCTTGTAATATAAACCCTACCCTTACATAAGCCCCAGTTAAGATCATCAGCCAGACACAACTGTATTTGAATAAATGTAGGTTTTTGTACATGAATAAATGAATAAAATGCATCTTTTAGAGAAAAAAGTCATATATGACCCGGTCTTATTTTCGGGGAAACTCGGTATGAATTTTTTTATTAGATACATATCTTCAGGATAGATTAGAAGACACAGGACTGCTGAGTCAAAACATAAATATATTTTATGTTTCGTACTGCTAAATTTCCCTCCGTAAGGGTTATACCAGTTTGTATTCTCTCCAGTGATACGAGACTGCCTATTTCCCCACAGCTTTGACAGCATGCATTGTTTTACTTTTTCAATTTTTGCCAAACTGATAGGTAAGAAATGATATCTCATTGTAGTTTTAATGTACAGTTTTATTATTATGAATGTAATTTAGCATATCTTTTTAACTGTTCAATGTCCATTTTATTTGTTATTGTGAGTGTGTGAATTGCGCCCCCCTCTTCCCCCTTTTTGCCCATTTTAAAAATGGATTTTTGGTCTTTTCCTCTTAATTCTGAATTATTGTGGCTATAGTCTTATCTGTGATATATATATTATTTTTACTTTATGTATTCTAATTGTTTGCCATGTGAAAGTGCTCCCCCTCCCCTCCACCACCACACACACACACGTAGACAAATTTATTGTTTTATTCTTTTATCATATCCAGATTTTGAGTTATGGTTAGAAAGCCTTTTCCCTATAGAGCTTTTCTTTATAGAAAGCCTTCTCCTTCGGTTAAAGAGAAATTCATCCTTGTCTTCTAGTAGTTGTAAGATTTCACTTTTTACATTTAGATCCCTGATTCATTTGAAGTTTATTCCTATATGTAGAGTTTATTCCTGTGGCATGAGTTATTGATCTAATTTTGCCTTTCTAAATCATTAACCAGTTGTTTTAGTACAATTTATTAAAAGATCTATCTTTGTTGCACTGATTTGAGAGGCCATTGTTATTATATGCTAAATTTCCACATGTAGTTGGTCTATGTCTAGACTTTCCATTCTGTTCCAATAGGTCGCTTGCATAATCCTATGTCAATACCACATTGTTCTAATTGTACAGCTTTATAGTATGTTTTAATGTGTGGTAGGGCCAATCCGCCCTTGTAGCTTTTTTTTTTTTTTTTCATGTTTTTCTAGCTTTTCTTGTATGTTTATTTTTCCATGTGAAATTTGGTACCGCTTTGGCTAACTCCATATAAAACTTGTCTGTATATTTGTAATTGGAATTTCATTGACTTTATAAATTAGTGAGAACTAACCTATTTTTGATATTAGATTATCTTAACCAGGAATGAGAGATATCTTTCCATTTGTTCAACTTTACTTTTGTGTCTTTCAGGAGTTTTACTTATACAGGCTTTTGACATTTCTTGTTAAGTTTATTCCTAAGTGTTTTATTGCTTTTGTTGCTATCGTATAGTTTTGTTTTTTTCTCCTACATTCTAAAAAGTGGCAGCCTGCCTTACACAAAGCTCAGTTCTTTCCACTGTGTTACCTTTCCTTTGTGGAACTTAAGTTTTTTTTTGTTGTTTGTTCTCCTTGCTGAATGTTAACTGTATCAAAAAAAAAATTTGATATAATCACCATTTCATTTCTCTTGATTATCATAAAATAGGAATTTTTCTGACAGCTTAAAATTCTGTAGTTTTACATCAGTGATTTACATAACTGCTGCCTAGGATTGCATTAAATAATTATGAATTTCCAGAAAAAGATTGGAATAAGGTCTTCTCCTTGCCCAATTAAATAAGCCAGTATGCTAACCATGCTAGTGTGAGAGGCAGTTTGTTTTGGTTGAAGAAACAAGATCAGAGAGGTCCGATATAAAAAGAAAACCAAGAGTAATTATCCTTGCACCAGTAGTCACACAAACTATTATTAAGA